TTGCCCAAATGAAGCTATGTGAGGCTCTGAGAATTAAGATTCACATTTTCTGTGGGTGTTAAACTACTGCCGTTTTTTGGTAAAGTATGAATCTCAAATGTGCAAGAAACATGTGAATAGCTTGTTTTGCCAACAAGGACTATTTTTCGGAACATCTGCCTTTTGTTGATCTCCAAAATCATACTCCACAGCATCTCTTATCTTCGTTTCTTCCTTCTCTCCTTATGTCCCAGTTGTTTATCTTGAACTTATATAATCTGAATCTGAACAATATGTGCTTTATTTTCTCGTGTTGCCAATATCATCCTGCTTTTTTTTTTTTACTGTTCCGCATTTTAAAAAGGTGAACTTGTATTCGTGTCACTTAAATTTTGCCTAGTGTTGTCCTTCCTGATGAGTACTCTTACTTTCTGTTGCACATATATTACGTAATGTTCTTTGTACTGTAAACAGGTAATTTGGAAACAGTTTATTTTTAATAAATATTTAATATGTTGAGTTCTTAAAGGTGGTAAAATCATTATAACTACTAAGTCTCTCTGGGTTATTTGTTCAGGTGACTTTTTGTTTCTACTTGTACTGTATTTCATAGCTTGTTGTAGTTGCTGTGGCAGGCTGACATTATTTACTCTGATCAGTTTTTTTAAATCCAGCTTTTCTTTTTTCTTCTGCGAAGGCTACCACTAATTTAGGTGGAGTCCTGTCTAAAAACTGCAAGATTTTGGTTCTCAGTGCACGCTTTTTCTTTGTGGTTATAGGAACTGTAAGTATAAATCTTACACTTGCGTCCAAATTCACTGCAGAGTTTGTAGTGTAGTCAGCAGGTAAAGCGCTGGCCTGATGAAAAATCAGAGCTCATGTGTGTATCCTGTGTTTACTATTAAAGTAAACCTAACAATTACGGATGTGAATCTGGTAAATGATATTCATCTGTGTTACTGTAACACATAGGAACCCTTGTGCTAGGCTCTGTACGGTTTTGCCCCCAAGCAACACCCAGTTATTAGTAGGCTGTAGGGCCTCTTTGTTTCTTTTTGCGTAGAGGAGATTCCACAATAATCCTCCTAACTTCTTATATTCAGACTAGCTAGTTAGAACAAAATATCAGGCAAACCAATCTGATGTGCAAAGTTAAATGTCTTTAAAATATCTGTTAAAAAACAAAACAAAACAAAAACCTCTAGCTGAATTGTAAACTATGTAGTCCACTTTGTACTAAAGTTATTCACTTAGGGTTTTTTTAAACACTGTTAGAGTCTAGGCTTTGAAATGTAAATGTTGACCCCTGTGTGACAGAGGTGTGCATGAAAGATCATTTTTCTTAATTTTTGGGGGGAGTGGGTAGAGGACTTGAGGTGTAGGTGTAGGGGGAGGCATATAGGCTAATAATGTAAAATAACTGAAATAATGTTAGCTGTAAATGGGTCTCAGAAGTATTATGAAAATAGAGTGAAACTTGAGTCTTGCAGAGGGCTGAGAACAATAAGTTACTGTACAGCTTGCACTAAGAGACAAGATGAGTGGTATGTCTTTAGCAGTCGGGAATTTCGGAATCAAGCGACTGCAACTGAATATTATGTTATAGGCAAGTATTGCCTTTCTGACCCTGAAGGTTGGGGTAAACGTTGTTTAGGTGAATGATTTTAAGGTTTTCAGAATCTCATATGTTTTTTATAAATGTATATATGCATATAAATATAACAAATGTAGATACATTGTGTATATAATGAGGGATTTAAAAACAATTTTACTATTAAAATGCAGTCTAAAGGTTGTTTTCAGTGATTGTTTTGATTTTGTTCATCTTCTGAAATGTCATGCCTGTATGGCTGTTGCACAGTATATCTTCTAGTTTGCTAGTTCAATTTCCATATGGCTACTCTAAAACTGTGATGCCACGTAATTCTTACGGTGAATACAGCAGGGACAATACTTGCTTTGAGATAGAAAAGTCCTCTATATATATATGTCATGGAATACTGTAGTACAAAACTGTGTTGAATTGAAGTGATACCATGCTCTATTTTTGTGTACCTTACTGTATGAGGTTGCCGTGATTGATACAGTAAAATATATGCTAATTGAAAATGCAGGTGTTTTGCATCTGATTTGTTAAAACTAATTTATGTTCAAAGGAATTGAAAAATAAAGAGGCCTTTAAGAAAAGGCTTAACTCTTTTCTTAAGGTTGAGTGCATGTAGCTGTCTGTTTCTCAACTGTGTTTTGCATGCAGAAGTGAGTTTGTACACAGAAGTAATCTTGGGGATAAAATGGGCAAGTGTGTATGTATCATGAGCCTCAGTTGTATGAGACTGGATGGAGCGCCTGCAGAATTTAGGTTTTTTTTTTTATTATTATTTTTTTTAAAGTTAATTTTCAGGGCTTAGCAGCATGCCTGTTTGTTCCATAAGAACATGTCTGCAGTCTGCAGCAGACAGGCTAATGTGGGGGCAGTAAGCAGGTTTTATGTGCGATGTAAAGCTGACCTACATTGTTTTCCAGGCTTGACTCTTGATATCATTTGCAGATTGTCTGATAAAGTTTCCTGATGCTAGGTATCACAAAAGATATGTGATACTGCTAATGTACTTTTTGGCACTCAAGGCAGGCCTAGTGGCTGCTATTGCATCCTTCTAGCTCTAGAGCTGGATAATTTCTCAGGTCCCAGACTAGACTGTTTTTCCTTTGATTCATTGTTTTGGAGCACATCAGCTGAATGTCAGGTGAATGCTTAAAAGGCCTCAAGTTCCATTTACACAATCTTGTGATCTGTTGAGGTTCCTGGAAGTATTTGGGATGTTTGTAAAAAATCAGGTTCAAGATGACAGAAGTATTACTGCAGGAAGTCTTGTCTTTACATCTCTGTGCTATTTATGCTAATGTATTTCTGGCACATTTTAAACAAGTCAATGCTGACTGTTCTGACTGGTCTGATGTTTCTGATGACAGACCTATTATATGTGTCTGCCTGTGTCTTTTGCTCTGAACAGAGGTTTAAAGGTTCCATGCACCATCGTGTAGCTTAAACTTAACAATTTGAGCTGGCAGCTCTTTAAACTTATCTGTTCTGGACAACAGTTTTGGATTCCAAGCATTTAGTTTGTGTAGCTAATCGTGCTGTAGTGTCTTGCTGGGGGAGAGGTTCCCCTTTCTGTTATTTGCTTAGAAAGGGAGGGAGCCTGAGTAATATGATCATTGTAATGCTGCCAGAGAGAGAGAAAAGCAGGAGGTGCTTCAGTTCCAAGGTGATGGAATTGAACTGGAGACAAAACAGGTACTTTGAGGTCACTGGGAGCTAACTAGGCCTTCTAGCATGGTCGTTACCATCTGTGTGAATACAAATGTACCTGTCTATTCCTTGTGAAGGATATTCCACAGTTCCTTCTGAAAATCATGATTATGGTTGTCTAAAGAGTTTGTAAGCATGTAAATGGGAGATTCTGTGTAGAGCCAGGAGTTGGTTTCTATGACCCTTATGAGTCCTTTTTAACTTGGGATAGTCTATGAAATGTCTTAGATCTTTTGTGTAAAATTAAGCAAAATTGGGCATTGCAGTTGTTTTGTATTACCTTTTTTTTTCTACAGTTGACCATATTCCCTTAGACAATATTTTTATGTGTCTTGCCAGTTTGAAAGTTTAGAGGCAGGGAATCAATACTTAAAGTAGCTTTCTGGTTTTGTACTTTATGTATAGCCCTGCTGCGATTAGGGCAGCCTTGAGCATTGAGCCACCACACAAGGCAGAGACCAGTGCGTTGGATCTTACTGCCTGAAGGAAGGCAAAAGGTTAACATGTATTATATGGCAGCAGCTTTTGTAACTCTAAAATCCTGCAGACGTTACTGAAGCTCTTCCATTTGAGGAGATGTGTAGGAGAGCCAGAGAACAGCTCCTTTGTTTGACAGGATGTTTTGTGTGCTAATGTGCAGAAAGCAAGGCTGTTTCTCACAGTACTGAAAGGTGTCTACGTTGAAAATACGCTGAGATATTTTATACTGTGTAATGGCCCTTTGGTTCAGGCAGGAATCTAGAATCTTGCTACGACATCATGTGCAGAGCAGTCAGAGGTGATGGTGTGCTGATGGATAGGAGTCAGTAAAGTTGACTGTAATACCCAGCTGTGCATATAGAATTGTAGGACCAACTGACCTGTAACCAGAGAATTAGAGCATAGTGTCCTAAGTGATGTAATCCCTTTTCTTCTTTCACTTCTGGCACTGCGTTGCTCCTTCCACAGAGCTATGGGAACTCTGGCTATATGCTGGTTTGTTGTTATTTTATTGGGAGAGGGAAACAGCTGCCTTGCTATCCTGACCTCTACAGAAGGAAGAGGATCCTAAGTTCTTAGGAATCCCTGCAAACAGGGAGACATTGCTGTGCCTGAAGAGAATGAGATGCTGCCAGGTAGCTCCTGCTTTTCTGCTACAGTACAGAGGCAGAGAGGCTATGACAATCTTTCTGACACTGAACAGCATTCTAAGTTGTCTGTGATTAAAGCCAGACATGGGCTTCTATTGAACTTAGAAAGGCTTGGTGCAGAAAAGAGGTGGGCAAGTGGAAGTGTTCCAGAAAAATATGAAGCAACCTGCTTTTCCTCCCCCCCCCCCCCCCCTCCCCGCCTCCCCCCCTCCCTCCCTCCCTTAGTGTCAATGAGAAATTTCTCTCTCAGCATTCAGAGTCTGAGAGGCATCGAATTCATGTTACAGGGAGCTTTAGAGGAGGTTGAAGGATTTTATTACTAGTACTCCTTATTGGTGGGATTCTTTCTTAGTGCTGCAGATTGTGAATGCAGGTTTTGATGGTCATGGTATTCTTCTTCAGCTTGGGCACTGTATGGGAACTGCTGAATCATGGCCTGAACCTCTGATTGATCACCTGAGGCAAGCACTGAGTCAGCCCTGGGAGCACAGGTGAAGGCAGTTCACCTGTGCTGCTGGAAGGGGTGGAGCCTGGCTGCACCTCTCCTAGGCCCATTTAGGAGCTGACTACCAGTGGGGAAGGAGCTCTTCTGGAGATCCCTCCTCTGGAGTTTTGCAGCGAGCCCAGGGTGTGGGTAAGTGTTCTATGTATTCTCTATGTGTTATTATAATCTGCTTTGCCAAATTCTCTTGTTTATTTCATAATTATATCATCTTTATATTCATTGATTATACAGGCACTATGATGGTGTTTCAGTGCATTGCAGCAAGAGTGTGAACTACTTTCTGACCTGGGTAGCGTTGCCATTTGTTATTTTCACCTTGTACCGAACTTTCATTATTTCATGTGCAATTCACTGCATTGAAGACAGTGTTAAACCATAACTTTAATATAAGCTCCAACCAGTAGCATGTGGCTGCTACTTCTGCTGTTGTGGGTGTGGAGCTGTCATGCTTCTTGTTTTAGAAATCATTCTCGTGATAGTCATACTGCTCTGAGATTTTTTCATCATCTACATGTTTTAAAAAAAGAAAAAGAAATACCAGTGCGCAACTGTTCATCAACTCCTTAGTGGAAAAAATACTGCTTTTCCCTGGAGTAAGTAAAAGCAGTTTGATAGCTTGATCTGTGTGCAGCACATGTAACTGCTTCATCCAAACTTTTCAAAGACTAGCAATTTATTTCTGAAGTATAACCAGTACTGGTGAACTATTATTATGTAGCTGCAGTCATTGTACATCTCCCCATTGCTGTGTGTGTGAATTGTTTGCTTTCCAGGTGGGTCAGACTACTTCTGTAGTGCCCCAATTGTGGATTCCTGCCAGTGGCATATGCAGATCCCAAACCCTACTAAGTTAACCATTAATTTAAAAAAAAAAAAAAAGCTACCTACAAGCAAGTCTAAGAAGGAGCACCGTGTTATGTGCTTCAGTGCAATTATATGAACTTGTGTGTTCTTGATGAACCTCCGCACAGGCTGCTCTGCGATGGGGAGGAGAGCTGTGTATGCGTGTGTTCACAGGAGCTCCTAGGAACCTACTGGCTTATAATGAGAATCTTTGTGGTTCTTTAAAGGGTGGAGAGGAAACATGTTGGAAACCTGCATTAGCGCACTAGGTCTACTGAGGAGCTGAGTGGCAAAGACTGGAGTGTGGCTGGGTGGGAGTGTTAAATCCAGCCCCAGAAAAAAGCTGCCTTTCCCTTACTCAGCCCTCTCTGCCACCAGAAGCTACCAGATACCTGACAGTTTTGCCTGCTTATCTGCAATGTTCAGACTGGGTTGGCTGACTGAAGGTTTTCCTTCAGCTAGGTTTTTTTGGATGTATTCTTGGTTACAGTGAAGCATTCAGTTTGTAATAGTTACAGGGGGAGTGATGTATTGTGACTCTAGAAGGTTGGGAGAGATGACAGAGAGCTGCTGCCAGAGCTCTGCTGCCAGAGCTTGGGTATGCCGAGCAGAAGGGCAGCTGCACCAATTTACTAGCTGCAGGTGGCTTGGCTCCATTCAGTAGCAGAAGCAGCAGGAGACAAGGATTCCATCTGCCGCATTACCTTTTCAGGGCCTGTTTCCTCGCACTGCGTTGCAGGGCTCAGCCATGCCAAGCAGCTTGGTGCTGCTGTGAGCCATCTCCTGTAACTTTGGCCACCTTGGGATGGGGTGGCCCAGCCCTGAGGCGTGCAGTGAGGAGATGGCGTTTCCAGCTCTGCATTATGCTTGGTTCCTGGACCTGAAAATGGAAACCTGTTCCAGCATCCTTTTAGATGGTATTAGATGAGAGAGATTCTTCTATCTGTAACGAGCCTATGGTGCATGCTGGCTTTGGGCCAAAATTGGTAGAAAGCAGTAGGTTGGATGTATATGCTCTGCTTTTCCGTTGTAGGGGAGAGGGGCTTAATTCCCCAATGCTGTGCATCATATTGCAGAAGTCCTTCTAGGATGACCAGTGTTACAGCTTTTGTTGTGATTAAATTCTCCTATTCTCCAGACCTTAATCACAGAAGGTTCTCTAAGAGGCACCATTCCCAGTGCTAGGAGGGAAAGCAGCAGGTGATGTGCGCACTGAGCCTGCACCTGCTGTTCTCATTTTGGGAGGACACAGCACAGCCCAAGACTGGCTCTGGACTGTAAAAAACTTGCCCAGCTTCTGTGAAAACATTCATGTATAACTTCTGCAGTGAATGTGTGGTGTGGGTAATAGTTAAGGGTAGGAGTAGCAGAAGTGAAGCTTTGTGTTACAGGAATACTGTTTTCTATTACAGTGTTTTCTGCTGCAGGCAGTGCTTAAGTGTGGATGGGATTAGGCTTAAGGAAACAGCCATGTTGATTAGGCTTAAGGAAACTGCTTGCTTGTACCTCATTTAAGGAGATGTTTCAATCAGTGTCTCCCAAGACTTTCTGGGTCCTAAGGATAGGTACTGGGGACCATGATGCTGTCCGGTTCAGTAAGTCTGGGCTATAGCTGCAGTGGTGCGGAATCTTCAGGACTTTGTCATCAGGAGCTCTGCCTGCTAGAAATGATCAAAATGAGCATCATTATTGTATTTTGCTACTTGGAGCTTCCTGAGTTTGTAGTCTCAGGACAGTGTGTAAGCGTTACTTGGTAGTTTTCAGAACAGATTGAGAATCTTTTTTTTGTTGTTGTTGTACTTCCTATTTCCTGTTTTCCACAGGTCCAAAGCTTTTGGCAAGATAACTTTTACTGAACTCAAGTCAAATGAAGCTGCACACATGGGAGAGAATGCTGCTTTGATGCTAGTTTAATCCTACTCTTTCTGCCTGTAGCTTATCACTGGGGTAGGAACTGACAGTACAGAATTAATAGCAGATATGACCACAGGCTCATTAAAATCTATGAAGCCATTGGAACATGGGAAAGAAAGAACACATAAGCCAAAGGGCTGTATGAATAGGAAGATAAGGGGAGAAAGTTATTGCCCTGGCAATCCTATAAAGAAGAACAGGGAAAAAAATGGTTTAAAAATTGAACTGGATAATGAAGTGGTATCTAATGACTGTGCAAAAGTGACTCTTCCTTTGAAACAATACAGATTTATATTCCAACACGGAAAGCAAGGCAATGACAAAGTGAGTTGATAGATTTCAAAAGGAATTAGGAGCAATTCAAAAGTCTGGCCGAAATCTATTTAAATTGATGCATTTCTAATGGAAATTTATCTGACATGCGTTTTCCAAAAATAACCTGGTAAAATACTAAATCTGTGAGCTCAAAGTAGACTTTGAACATTAGAAGAAAAAAATAATCAAAGGAACTCAATCTGGAGTGGGGTGTGGCATGGGTCTTTCCTTAATGTTCTTAGCAACTGATCCTTCTGGTAGTGGGTACTGGTGCTTCTATTGACTGTTAAGATGTGGATAAGGCGAGTGGTATGCTGAGGACAGCCATGATTTACAGTGATTCTTGTTAAGCTGGCAGCTAGCTTTCAGTCCTTGAGAAAGGAGAAGGTAGGGCTGGGAAGAACATGACTACATGGCATTCAAAGAAGAGAGAAGATAGTTCTTGTGGCATTTGTGTGTGTGGTGTGTGGCTGGGAGGGAGGACTCAACAGTAGCCAGTTTTCTGGTTACATGTTTGCCTCTTGCTTGGATTTCCAGCCACCTTTACTTAGCTACTGTATAGTATCCTTTTGTGTCACTTAGGTGTGTCCTAAAAGCTGTATTTGATTTGTACCATATTTACCACCTTATATGCCACTGCAGAAGCTGTGTTTATTGCCAGGTCATTTCACTCATGCAGAGCCTTTTGCAAGACCATGGCATGTAGACCTCTGTGCACTTCAATTTCTATACATAGTGTGCTGTTCCTATATATTGAGGACCTTGAGGCATGCACCTATCTGCCAATGTTAAGTGCACTGATTTCACTTTGCAGTGCAAGTATGAGACACTGTGAATGTTAGCACATGTCTGCATGCTTGCAGAGTTTTTGCAGAAAATGAGGCTTGTAAACCCAATGTGTTCAGTGTATCATGTCATCCTTAAATGGTGCTGTTCTCTTCCCTTGGGACACAAGGCGAGTATGTGGCATAAAGGAGGCACCATGGTCAAAGAAAGCACTCAGCACATTCCTGGGGACACAGCAATGTCTTATCTGGAGCTAGACAGGGCAGGTCAAGGATGAGGGGTTTGGAAGCTGAGAGTTAAGCTCTGGACAGCTGCACTGCAAGTTGCAAGCAACATTTGAAGCACGGTGGACAAGTGGGATGTGAGAAACCAGAACTCAAAGGCAGTGGGAATTGTAGGTGGCACTGAAGAGCCAAACACAAGAACTGAAATGTGTATTTTAATATATAGTTCCATTTCAGTTTCAAGTACAAATTGTGAGGGGGGAGATGCATCTCAAGAACGTGTGTTATGCATCCATCTAAGTATACAAGCATGGGATTAATGTCTGTTTAATATAAAGCTAAAAGCTTGTACAGATGGTGAAAAGTTGGGCAACAGTATGTGTAGCTCATAGCATAGATCTATTTTAAATAAATGCACTGTTTCTTATATGATATTACCCATCAAATTCATCCTTAAGCTACTTGCAAAGCTGCTGAACTGCTTCTTCAGCAAAGGTGTGTTTAGGAATGCCAGTGAGGGACACGGGCAGCTGTAGGGCATTTGGCACAGTGAGGCCCAACAGACTGATACGTGGGATCAGCGGGAATGAAAAGTGCCTGGGAGCTTCCAAAGGGGAAAGTGTGACTGGCATGCTGAAAAACTCATTCTGAGCATTTCAGAGCTGTGTGCGGACAGGTAATATGTGCTATTAATGCTATTTGCAGGCAGCACAAAAGAAGCCCAAGGAGAGGACACGATTTGTCAAAAGTGAGAGCACTGAAACTGGATCTAAAACGTTCCAGTTTCATTTTGTTAGCATGACATGCCAAGACCACCAGTCTTAGCCACGTAACGGTGTGGGACTGGGAGAGGGTATGGGGATTTATGGAAAACATCAGCTGCCAATGACTTCATCTTCAGGGAGTTTGGTTTCAGAATTTTCTCTATGCCTGTTTGTGGTAGTTCTCTTGTCTTTAGGAATCTGATCTCTACTATCCTGAAGGATTTCTTACCTTTCAACCCTGTTGTTACTGAAGTCAAATATTAGAAGCATGCTTTCCAGAAAATAACTTTTGCCTTGTTGATTGTATTGTAGCTCTGTGTTCCTCTGAAGCTTAGCCTGCTGTCTGCTTATGAACACAACTGATATCAAGGCTAAAATGAAATGTCCTTGTGTTCTGAGTGCTCCAGCTGCAGTGGGCTTGCTTGAAGACCTGAACAGGTTTAATAGTAGGGTTTGCACAAGACACTCTATCAACTGGAGGTTTTATCTCTAACAGAAAAAAGTACAGTGAGGATTTGTATTGATCTTTCTTAGTCATCAGAGTTATGGCCCCCAGTCATGAGCTAGAAAAGAATCATTACCAGTTTTGCACGGTGGAGGTAATAAGAGAGTTTCAATCACTTGCCTGAAATTACAAAGCAGTTCAACAGTAGAGGTTGTGGTTTACCTGCTGTCCCTGTTGTGTTTGGTAGGCTCTGTGGCTTGCTGTACAGGGGACAGGAAGAAGCCAGTGAGGAGAAAGGCTTTTGTCAGGGAAAAAGAGCTCCTAACATTTTAGAGGAAATGCTGTGTGTTTCTCCAGCTCTAGGGCTCTTTTCTGAAGCAAATTCAAGCACCCAAATTCAATCTGAGCAGCAACCCTGGTAACACCTGGAGCTCACAAAATGAATGTTAGACCTCTTGAAACTCTTACTAACTGCCAATCAAGGGCAAGCTTTTAGTGGAGAGAGAATGGACACAGTACGTGGCTAAGGAACAGCTGTGACTCGTCCTGCCAAACAGTGACAGGTCGAGTGATTTAGATGGAAAACACACCAGGTCCTATTGACAGTGCACTGCACAGCACTCCTCCCTGCTCGCCCCTGCTTGTTAATCCAGGGCTGTCCTTGGAGCCCCTCGCAGCACGGCAGTATGGGACGGGTACCAGGTGGGACTTCAGGGAGAGGTAAGCGGGCAGCAGCCCGAACCCGTGCAGGTGAACGCGGGGATCCGGCGGGAGGGAAGGGAAAGCCTGCGGATGCTGAAGCAGCGGGAACGTGCTTCGAGCGGTGCTCTCCGTCCCTTAGTCTCCCTCGCTGTGAAAGCAGCGGTGCGAGGGCCATCTGAGGAAGAGGGGGCTGAGGAAGGATGCGCGGGGAGGGCTGCTAGCCTGCACCTGTCTCGGGTCAGCATGGTGTCCCGAAGCTTTCCCAGCGTGGCGCTGCGGCCGGCGGCTCGGCTCGGCTGCGCTCCGCTCGCACCCGGGACGGCGGCTGGCGCGGTGAGGGCAGCGGAGCTGTCCGCCGTAGCCGGTACTGAACCGCAGGTGCGGAAGGCGCGCCTCGCGTTCCGGTGTTGCCAAGAGGAAGTTTCCGGCGGCAGGGAGCGGAACGGCTCCTGCGGAAAGGTAAGGAGGGTGCTGGCCGGGCTGCAGCATCCCCGGGCAGGACACGGGGCCACCAGCACCATCTCGAGCGTGGGGAAGGTACAGTCCCCTTGAGCATCCCTGAGGGCCCCCAGTCCCACCGTGCCGGCGAAGTGCTAGAACTCAGAACCACGCGGATTCCCGGGTGCGATGGGAGCTGGCAGAGGCAGCACCAGCCTCGGGCGCTGGTGCTCGTCTCAGCTTGTCTGCTGAGAGACCTGGAGTGTGCATGTGGTTGCTCCTCTTTACGCAGGTGTCCTGGGTGGGTAACAGAGGGAGGCAGAAAGCAGATGTGTATAAGCAAGGGGGGCAGGTAGCCCTGGCACAGGAAAACTCTGTAACCTATGGAGTGATTCTGTGTGGGAGGTGCAGGGCTGTCTTTCTTCCCACTCTGCAATCTGTCCTTCAGATACTGAGCAATTGCTCAGCCGTGCTTTTTGCTCTTCAGTGATTTTTTTTTTTTTTTTTTTTTTTTAATTTATTTTTTCTTCTTGGTGACTTGCTCTATTTGCTAGGCAGGGGGCAGAATCTAATCTTCTACTATGCCAGGACTGATTCCTGCCATTTACTATTGAAAGAAACTGGAGGTCGGCTGAGTTCTCAAGCTTATCAAGTTTCCTCCTCGTCTCTAAGAAAGGCTCTGACTTGTGGCACATTGGCTGAAAAAAAGTAAGTACCAAAGGTTGAAAAGGAAAATGGCGAGAGCAGTAACCACATTCAATACAATGTATGAATTTTCAGGCTAACAGCAGGGGTGTGTAGGATAGTCTAGCCGTGCTCTCATACACGTAAATGCCCAATATAAGTCTGCGATATAGGTTTAGTCTTCATCCTTCCTATAAAAGCAAGAATAAGGTCTGGGTGCTTGAATATGAGGCCTTCCAATAAAGTACTTGTGACAGCTTAATTTTAACTCTCAATCTCATTAAGAGAATAATTTATTAATTAAATTTAATCTCATTTTGAAGTCTTAAATCCAGCAGCAGCTTTGTATGCCCAGCAACTGTGTGGCTGAGCAGACTGGTCCTAAGGGGCTACATCATGTGGCCAGGCAGCCCCAAGGAGATGTTCTTGTCTGAAAACCCTTCCACAGGAGGCAGAAATTGAGTAAAGATAGAGCATTCTCATGATTCTTGAGCCTTTTTGAGCTGGAACGAAACCCCAGCAGAAATGTGCATGGATGCGTTTGGTACCCACACGGATCATTCTGTGGTTGGTGACTGCTGAACCTGACAGCACAGGGACAGGCTTGTGTAAGCTTCCCTGTCACATACCCACCGGAGGGCAATTCCCAGACAATGCAGTGTCTTAGTGCAGGTCTCTGGGGAGCACTTTAAACCAGAGCAGTTTGTAGCATTGTCAGGGAGCAAGGAAAATCCCACTCTGCTTCAAGAGTTGCCCTGTGGGCAAACTTGGGGCCAGGTCCCTGCACCCCCCCATAAATAGGCTCAGACAGTTTTCCACTTTCAGCTCATCTGGAGAGGAATGGCATTATGAGCCCCTAAGGAAATGGGAAAGCCTGAAGGTTTTGCAGTAGTTTTTGTGCTGATCCTAGTTTAACTTGCCTGTGTGCTGTGCATAGCTGAGTTTATAGGATCTAGATTATTAATTATTTTCAGGTACAAAAATGATAGCTCTCCATAGTCCCACTGAACCCTATTCGCACATGATCTGTGTGTCAATGACATCAGCATATCCATCAGTGCAAGAGATGTTTTTTAACCATTTTTTGTATGAGAGGTGTGCTTTATAAATAGCTCAGGCACAACCGTATAAATACAGCCTGTTCCAAGCAATTTATCGGAAACAGAAGTTCATCTCCCCTGGATATTTGCTACTGTTTTCCAGCTTGATCTCACAGGACCTCTGCAGCTCCCTGCTGTGCTATGAGATGGAGACCTGCCATTGTTTGAAGGAGATAAAGTCCTGCAGGCACTGGAGTTTCTCTCCTTCTCTTGCTGCAGGGTGCATGCACACTGATGAGCAAGAACAATTCCTTCTACGCTGCATGAGGCCAAGCCTTGTTTTGTCACCAGCACAGTTGTGTGATGTTGGTCTCCCCTTTCTCCCTGCAGCATGTCATTCCAAGAGTGTGTTCTGCTGGAGCATCTCAGCCAGGCAGTATACCTGCCCAGCTGCTTTCTCACATAGGCTCTGGAGGAAGACAGAATTATGGCCTGGAGAAGAGCTGTGGATTACAAGAATTACAGGAATTAGTTGCTCAGCCCTAAATAAAGATTGTTTCCAATTAGGTTAACAAAAGATGTTATTCTCATGGACAGAGTCACTTGGTCTGGTACTGGTGGGTGTAACTCGCTTGTTCCTCTGCCATGGGCACTCTGAGCCATCTAAAGAGCATAGGAGAGTGGAGGAGATGATTTTCACTGCACTTAAAAGCGCTGAGCACCTATAGTGCACTGTGTGTGGGTGTTCAGCAGCCTCTGCTCCTGCTGGGCATGCTCTCTGCCCCAGCTTTGCTCAGCAGCTGAGGACATTATACTGGTATGCACACAGAGGTGGTCAGAGCTGCAGGCAGTGCTGAAAGCATGGGTATGGGCAAGTGCTGTAACTCAGTGCCCAAACAGAGCTAACTACAAGCATGATGTGCGTTTATCCTAAAGGCATAGGCTTTTAATGTGCACATATAAAATGAGCTGTGGGCGCTCACTCCCTTTTTTAATGTGTTTCTGGCTAAGGGGGAAGAAAGAGTTGCTTTCTCAAGAAATTCCCAAGAAAAACTTAGAAATCAATGAATATGTGACAAAATTTCCTTCCTCCTTTCCCTAACCGTAGTGTGGGTCCAATTACTTGGTTGTTTTCTAATAGATTTAGCCTTAGCATCAATTAAAATGCTCTGGCACAGAAGGAAGGGAGAAGTGGGCCTTGCAGGACATGCATCACAGAAAGCAGATGGATACTGGATTTTTGTTAGCTGTGAAATTAAATACTATGAAGCAGATTCTTCATGGCAGTTATATGTGTCAGGGGGCTGTTCTCTCTCTGTCCTTGCATGTGTTGGAGAGAAGTAAAGCACACATTTTCTTCACAAACCTTTTAGAAAGTGGCCTGAGAAAGAGAGAAACTGGATTGCCAGGTAACTTTACTAGTCATTGGCCTGGAGTTAAAGTCTAGTTGTTGAGACTGAAACATCAGAGACTAACAAACCGGCACTGAAAGAACAAGGAGGGAGGGAAGAGGATCACTGTGAAGAGTTTCTAAAAGCAGGGATTGCTCAGAGCACTCAGATTTCTTCCCATATTTAACAAATTCTGCAGCATTCAGTTCCACCTGCTCCCTTCAGCTAGAGCTTCAGCTCCTTGCCTGTGTTCTTGCAGCCAGCTGTCTTCCACTGAAGCCCAGATTCACTATTGCTGATCCTTCTTAAGATAAAACGAGGCAGAAGACTTCAAACAAATTCTGAGCACTCCCCCCTATTCTTCATGAATCATGGCATAATATGGAGAAGATTTGAAGCCACGGACAAGATCTGACAGAAGGCAGAGAAAGATTGAGAAACCTGCTGCAGCTTCATGAATGGATGGAATGCTTCAGAGCTGCGCTGTATCTCTCTCATCACCAAAATCCAATAAATGCACTGGGGAAGGAGGCTGTTGCACTGTCCAGCTTCTTGGAAGCCTCTTTGAGTTTAGCAATAAGATGGAATTGACATTTAAATTAAAATCACATTTACTGGATACTCTTATTTGTATGCTAATTTGCAGATGGGAAATGCAGTGCCTCCCTGCTCATCTCTGTGTTATCAGAGAGGGAAGACCTGATTTCTGGCATGCTCTACTTGCTCTGTGCTAAGGCCAGATAGTTCTTACAGCTCTTCCCCAGCTGTGGGCAGCCCAGTGCCTGCCGAAGTTGGTCAGGCTTCTTGCACTCACTGTTGCTTCCAGAAGTATCCAGTTGTTATTGTGGGTCAGGGGTGCTGACCCTGCCTTGGGTTCAGAGGTGAATGATGGGCAGGAAACAGGCCCCCAGTTGGGAGGATTTGGCATACCTGGACTGTGTTGTGGCTTAGTGGGAGCCTGCTGCTGCTGCAGAGCTGGAGCTGTCCCAGGGGCTTTGACAGGGTTTGGTGCCCATGCAGTGAAGGCTGAGCTGTAGGTGGGCTGCAGATGTTGAGCAATGGAGCTCCCAGCCCTTCCCAGGGACAGCTTCTGTCTCAGTAACTCCTGCGCTCCATGTTCTGCTGGACATTGGAGTTGCTGAGGCAAGTGCTCAACTGCTGAAATAATGCATGTTGGTTAAAAACCCAAAGAAAAACTGCAGTAAAATTCCTCACTTTGAGAAATTCTTTGTAAAGCAGGTTGCCAGAGGGATAATGGCAGCTTCAAAATGGTGGTGATGTGTCATGGGTTTCACCCAATCTCCTGATTCCACATGCAGCTCTGCCATGAAGTAATTGGTGCAAACCATCTTGCACAGGTGGGGATATTACTGCTGCGCCCTTTAAACTCAGGTCAAGTGGAGGAAGCCTAGTTGCAGTGGCTGATCTCACACACTGCACAACTTAGAAAAAGCTGAGGGTACATAGGAAGCATAGCTTGGAGCTCAGTTCTTTCCAAAAGATAAGCTCCTGAGCTACAGATAATTACTAGTGCTCTCTTCTCTTTTTATGGCATCTTTTAGATTAGGCTGTAGAAACAGTCTGCATATGCTTTAAAGATTAAAATCAATGAGTGTTTCTTGGTGTGGCCAAGTTAAAAATAACAATGAAATGAAAGCTGGAGGTGCTTGCTGTGAGTCAGTGCAGGGGTGCCAGTCTGCCACTTGGGATTGTCACGTAGCTGCCTTGGGACGTGGCACTGCTTGGGAGTGGTGGCAGGTTCCACCAGACTGACAAAACTTCAGTATCTGTAATTAGTAACATCTGCATCCTACATATTTTCTGGTTATTCTGCACTGAATAAAGAAGAAAAACAAAGTATATCCTTGAACAAACTCACAGGAGAGGCCAAGTTAGGATGGGGTTGCCGGTCCTTGTGGAAAGAGGACTAGAGTCTCCTATTGTTCTGATATCATAGGAAAAGATCTAAGTAAGGTAGCTGCAGGGCAATTGAGTAAGGAAGATGAAGCAACATACTTACACAAGAAAATGAAGAAATCCTAACTTGGAAGTTACTGGCATAAGTAAATGCATTGATAAATACAGAAATCAGTCACTGAAATAATGGCAAAATTTTCTTCTACTGGTTCACAAGTATGGAAGTTAGTGCGTATTTTGTAAAAGACAAACTTACCTTCATTCCAAGCTCTGACAAATCTAAGCTTCTTAAATTTCAGCATAGTTTCTTTTAATGAAAAGACCCAAGGTTTTCTTCGGTTTATTTGCTTCAGAGTGATTTCATTCGTTCTAGCTGTATCAATTCATTGCTTCCATTTAATTTATTAAACTACTCTCAGCATACGATCGTGAGATGTCACGCCGTTACCGTTGACTGCCAACAGAGGGCAGTAACGATCACTTTACCTCGAATGGAAATCGATATGGTTGACGTGCTGGTACAGACCTCACTCCTTTTGCAGGTGCCTCGTTTCAGAATAACCATAGCAATGAGAGCACCTTTGCTATTTCAGCATGATTATGATACAGCACCATGTCTAGCATAATAGCATCTGGAACATTAAACTCAAGCACAGCTCCTGCAGAGAAGAGAACCTCCTGGTCTGGGCAGGAATAAGAATCCACACAGGTCAGTGTCAGCCTGATGACAGCACAACTTTACCAGCTCCCCATTCTGGCTTGCATGTCTAAGTTCCCAGCTGGTACAGGACAAAAAAAGACAAGACGGATAACACATGCTTGCCTCCAGCAGACAAACAAGTCTCAGAAGTTGGCGGCTTCAGTCCGCTGGCACTGACAGCACAGAGATTCTCACTGAGCAGATTTTTTAACAGTCCTCATTGCACTGAACAAACATAACGCAGAACCTGAACACACATTCCCACCCTTCACAGCACTGTAACTTGTGCACTTTCCTTGATATCTCTATTTTAAGACTGATGGGTAACTGAAATGTAATGAAATCCACTGTCATCTAGAAGGATGAAGGAAAAATACAGATCCTCTTCTAAAGAGAAAACCAAGCATTAATTCATTTCTGGTCAATACCAGAAGCTGATTTTGCGTCTCATTCAGACTTTGGCCAGTGTGTTTTCCAGCTCTAGGATGAGCACAGTTCTTCAAAATAACAGTAATAATACGGAAAAGCAGGTCATATAACACGTTATTTTGGAGAACTGCTTAGCCAGCACAGGTTTAAGACTCCAAATAGCCTTTCATTTTCCCAGAAGTTGATTTTTAAAAAGCCTAATAACAAAACCAGACCAAAAATGACTCTTTCATATCTACATTAGATTTTTGTAGACTCCTTCTTCCCCATGTACACACTTAATTCATCAAACCAACGACAGGGAAAGAGTTGCTTTTGATTCCACTAGAATTCAAGAAGTCTGCTAGTGAGTTCCAGAGTGTTAGGAATGCTTCCTGAATTTAGGCAAAAGAAAAGCTGTTGCTTTCTTAGACTTGAACCAGGGAAAACCAACTGCAACTGCCTTTAGCAAAATAAAAAAAGTGTTGCAGAACTGCATTTGAAATTGCAGTTTTAATGTCATGCAATCCACACCTCTTGCAAGTCATGTCTAACCCACAGTACTGATTAGGACGACATCTCAGAATATAAAAATAAAACATCCCATTAAATAGATACCAAGACAATTTCATATGACAAAAATATGGAGGTATTAAGAAGTTCTTCTTTGTGTGCAGCATCTGCTATTTGTCAAGGCAATGATCTTCTCTGGATTCAAAATGTGCAATTCTATGCGCCCAAGGCAGAGGAGGTTGGAACTGGATGATCTCTAAGGTCTCTTCCAACCCAAATCATTCTTTGATCCTGTAACTCTCATAAATCAAGGATTTATCCCAGCCAGACTCCCTTACCAGTGCTAAAACAAATTCATAGTTTAAACTATCAAGCCTCTCCATGTGAATCGGTGTATATTTTCAAAGAAAATAAAAAAAAGCTGCAACTCATCCTATCTTGCAGTCATATGATGGCTCTGTACTTCAAACACTCACAGCAGGCTTTGTACTAGGACCCACATTAAGCAGCAATTAAACAATTAAACAATTTCATGGCAGATGCTTCCACATTCTTCACAGGCTGCATTAAATTTGCTGTGATGTAAAAGCTGGAAAGTTCTTCATTCAGTTCAGAGCCTGACGCTTAAGTGGCTATCAGTGACTGACTAATAATACCAAGCAAAGGAGATCTGCTTTTTGATGTTTAAACATACAGAACAAGATACGCCCCAAATCAGAAGCTTTTGTGCAGTTACGGTCTTGATACTTAAATTCACTTTCTAAAGTCCAATAATATACTCCCTGTGCTTCTTCCCTGGTCTGCTACAGCAGCTCTTGCTCATCATCTTCAGAGCCCGAAGGTCCTTGTCGTACCTCTTCATACCATTTGTTTGTGAGAGTTTTCATCTGTATGCGCCCATGATGCAAGTCCTAAGGCACAAGAAAACATTGTCGCTGAGGTACAATACAACTTGTTAGAGTGCAAAACAGAATGATGAGTTAAGTGTACTTCTCACAAAATAATCTGCTTGTGATCTTTAAGTGTACAAAACATGTCAAATGCTCAGCTATTAATTACTTCCAGGGACGATACTTTGAGACATTTTCTTTGTTTCCTACACAGTCTTCCTCTGTGGATTTCAACAATTAGAGTTGTCTAGAAGGCAGTGTTTTTGAATCTCACTCCTCTCAACATGTTCCCATAGACAGCAGGAAGCTTGTGACCTGCTTTGGCAATTCACGTACTTTTCTACCATTTGGTTGCAGTCTTGATGGCAGCCTGTGTTTTTGGCTACCAATTACAAATCAAATGCCATTTTTTGATTTCTTGATTCATTCCTTGTTTTGCAAAATAAAAAAAAATTAAAACCCTTTGGCTTTTGTGGAAAAGTGTTCAGAGTTTGAATATACAAACACAAAGTCTTTAACCTCACAGCAAAAATGCTTAATTCAAATTGGAGAGGAAAACAAAAAGTGAATTACGTAGCCAAGGAATATCAGGCTTCTGAGGCCTGGAGTGAAAATAGCATAGTATTCACACCTCTGAGCTTAACTCAGTGTTAAGCTGTGTGTTCAGCCAGGTGTCATTTTGCATTTACAGCTTCAGACTCTTCATCTCATAGTGAAGAAATATTAAAAAAAAAAAAAAGGTTGCAATTTCAAGAATGGCCTATTTTTGGCTATAGTTCCAAGCAAAAGGCTGTGCTAGGCAGAAAAATCCATTTAATCCACCAGCGATTGTGCAGTGCGGCTTTTAATTACAGCTGCTCTACATATGCACAAGGTAAGGTGTTAGATGGCTCACTACCCCTTGTGTAGAAGTTGTATAGTTGTACTGTGATCCTTGAATGGTACAGAGTGAAATAAGAGCCAACTCCACCACAGTTTTGCTTCAAGAAAACAAGACAGACTTACTTCTTGTGTGAGTCTTCTGGTGAAGAAAGGATTCAAATACTTAGCATCCAGCCACATAAATCCTTTGAGGTCCTGGCGTTTTATGTACTGGGCTTCATATTCCTCCTCTGTGAGCTCTGATAAATGCTCGGATTCTATGGTATTTCCCTAGAAACATCACAAATATTGCAATAGCCTGAGAAAAAATAGTTATTCCCTCCCACTTGCTTCACCGCCTTATGCTGTCTCTTTTTTCAGTCAATTCCCATGACAGAACAAAATAGAAATAATCACCTCAGCCTACCAGGGCTTACAGCTGCATGAATCTGTCCAGCTGTTGATTCCCAGAGTCACTTACCTTCCTTTTTCATGCCAAAAGGCTTAAAATACTCCATGGTTTTGTACTGTTGTTATTGCTAAGGGATTTCTAGTGCACAAGCTTCCTCATACAATCTAAGCAATGAGTACATATAGCAAACAATACTTTTGTGTCATCATCTCACTGGAAAAGAAAAAGCCCTATATCAGAGCACTCCATGCTACCTGCACTCTTCCCATACACATTCACCTCCATAGACAGAATAAGCTAATTCTGAAGACTGAAGACTTTATAAAGCCTCATTCCAAGAGAAGTTGTTTTTCAGATCCACAGAACAATTCTCTGCATGCATTGTGTTATGGCTTGGGACCAAAAGAAGAAAAAGCTTCATGATACTTTATGTACTCCTGTCTTCAACAGATGAATTTTCAGACTAGACATTAGTTTTCTTCAGTATTTCTGACTATTTTAAAGCCAGAATCTGCCTTAAAATAAAACCCAGTCACAGTGGTGCTGCTGCTACCAACTTATTGAGGCCTTTGCTTTGACTTTTTCAAAATCTGCCTTCTATTATTAATTCCTGACTCACAATATACTAGCTCATTTCTGTCTGTGACTCAATCTATCCTGTAGCATCTGCCTTATGTTTTAAGGTTACTTTAATTTGTATGGGTTCATTTATAATTAAAATGACTTAAGAGACAAAGCTTCTCACCCCTTTGTCTAAGCAGTTACTTGTGTACATGCTAACCAAGCTCTCTGGGATACTTTAAATACTATTTGGCTTTTTTCTACCATGCCTCCACTCATTTTGTTTTACTTTTTAGTGAAAAAAAAAAAAAATCATACTAGTCTTCCTGAAAATGAAAAAAATAATTGTCTGAATAGAACAACAATATACCATTTTCTCTGTCTTGCTAAGATTAATGTCCTTTTTGTTCCTCTTGCGTGCTTTGGAGTCTTCAATGTCAATTAGTCTGATAAGGGGCATAGTTCCTCCTCCCAACAGCAAAACCGTGAACAGCACTATGATGATTGTAGTTGTTCCAATGAGCTGACGCTTCTCTATTGGTTCCAAGCCCAAATGGAGGCTGAGTGCATAGGGAATTGCACCACGTAAACCTGCAGAGAGAACAATAAATCGGCGAAGAGTGAATCAGCACCGATGCTGGTCCCTAGCACTCTGTTAACTCAACAGGAGTCCTCCACTTTCATGGCTTTTATGATCCTATTCTCTGCTCATTTATCTATTACTTGTTTATAATCTTAAAATGAATCAGAGGTACCGCTTTTCAAACTGAGCTGTTTGATTTTTAGAAAACTATATTCTTTGAAGAAAAGTTTTACTTGGGAACTATACTGCATTGTTTTCCTAAACAGAAGGGAAAGAGAAAGTATCAGTTGCACTTGGATTTGAGAATGGTGCAAGTGTTAAGTTTTCCATGGATGGAAAACCAGTTCCTCCCAAACAAGCCCACACAAAGAAAGAGAGATAAAACATTTTCTCCAGTCCTCCATAGCTTGAGTTGTAACTTACCACTAAACCACATGATAAACATCATTTTAGGGGTGATTTTATGATCACGAAAAAAGTTGAGTAGGTAGGAAAGGGGGAAAATATTCACTGCTCTACCAAACAGAACAAGTACCTGAAAAACAAAAACCAAAGCAAAAGGCTACTTGATGTGTTATGGTCACATAGGCCCAAATTGCATTTAATTTAGCTTGTACCAGCTAACAGCAATACACCCTTCCCACTCATAAATCTCATAAACAGGTGAGCTGCTAAATCAACAAAAAAACCCACAAAACTGTCAGCATCAGTTAATTTAAACAATTTTGTCTGCTTAAGTTAATTTAAACCTGACCAGACTCTGTTTTACTTCTGATAAACAAATGAAACCCAGAAGGCATTCCAGGGAGACCAAGAATCATTTTGGGTATGTGCTTCCCTCATTTCAGTTTCTTTAATTGTTCTTTTGGCACAGCTGCTAACAGTCAAAGCAATGTTTCTATTGCTTCCCATGGACAAGTTCCTCATTGAAAAAGAAGCCAAATAAATAGCATGCAATTCAGTTCCCTAGCACTTTACTGGATATGGCTGTAAAATACACCAAACATCTAAGCAACAAAAAAGTACTATTATTTTAATAACATAATCAGTGAATACAGTGAAAATTAACTCAGAAAAACAGTTACTCACAATGGTGCTGCTCAGTAAACTCCACAACAAACATACCTTGACAAGGTAAATACACTAGACTTAGTCAGCAGGATTCTTGAAGGCCTCTGGTGTTTTCCTTTATGAATCACCCCAAAATTAGTCAATTTGCATATTATGGCTGTGAGGGCAATGCTAGAAGGAAGTGTCACACCTTAGATATATATTAGGTAAGGAAGTTGGGTACATATGTGTAATGCGGTGAGAGCAGTTCTCCATGCTGATAAAATTATCTGTAGATTGTAGAAAACAATTCTTTCCTTGGAGCATGGGCTAAAACAAACTAGTGTGCATTGAGGTATGTGACTAGAAATTTCCCCTTTTCCAATCTGCAAAGAGAATGCACTTTTCATGTTTCAGTTAAATAACAACAATAGCAAAATATGTAGATAAGTTCCATGTGAAACAAAAGCTACACTGAAATACAAAATGAAGGAATTGAGAATAGAGTCAAAGAATGAGCAGACATTATAGAAGTTTTGAGAAAGTACTACCTCGGAAGAAGGGGAGCTTTTTCATCTTGTCACTTCTTCACAGAGTGAAGAAGTAATGCATGGACTAAATTCACACCAATCCTTCGTGATGCTAAAAATGCATAGAAACCGCAGGATTGTCCTCCTGAGGGAAATGACTTCTGAGATAATTTTAATAAAGCAAAATAAGCAAGGTTCTTTTTCTTATTAGTGTTTCAAAATAAACTGGAATCCTTAAATCAGGCTGATGTAAGCACACACCACAGCACTAAGAACAGAAAGAGGAAGTTCATGCTTATCAGTAAGAACTTTGTGCAACAAATACAATTATAATAGTATCCTTCATAAAAAACTGTAAAATCTAACAAATAAATTTTTTTAAGTGCAAGGTTTTATTTTTCTGCACAAACACCGCAGAAAAATACCTAAATATTTTTTAAAAGAAATACCTACTATGCACCAGATGACGAAGGACATCTCAAACTTGTGAGGAAAACTAAAAATAGACAGGCCAAGAAATGCAAAAACACACGTTTCTGAAAAAGAGAAGTTGCATTTTAAATACACAATTCTGTGAAACCTTTTGTATTCCCATTATAATATATATGGAGCATAAAATAAATATTTTCTGATTTTGCAATGCACAAAAAGAAAAGTCTTTTTGTAGAGGAACATGGGAGTCAGAGATCTCTCCTTGGCTACCAGCCTTGTTGCAAATCTTAGCAGGAGGCTGCAGAACGGGAAATGAAGATTTACTGGATGCTTTATCCAGTACATCAGGAAAGACGACTTGTGGCTGCCTTCCAGCATCCACTAAGTAGCCTTCTCTTAAAGACATGTACCGCTAACATACGAACAGCAGGAGGAAAACTCATCTCTCTCCTGCTGCCTTTGGAATCACCGTTTGAAGCAAATCAATTTTTAAACTATATTAGATATACTGTAGGTAGCACGTACCACACATGAAAGCAACGGTTCTCAGTGTCTGCTGCATTAATATCTGTGTAACAGGGGAGAGGTTATGGTGCGTATAGTGGGACATCACAATGCCAGAGAACAGGATTGCCATGATTCCTGTAAATAAAACGCAGTAATCAAATAGAGGTTAACTTGTAAACTGCAAATATAGTGTTTGCTTACACTCTATACTAATACAAAAGCTTTTGAAGCAATGAGTGAGGTTTCTCTTACCACTGGAAGTTGCACTGATTTCATTCTGCTGGATATATTAAATACTAGGAGGTCCTAAACAGGTCAACTGCAAGCTAATATAAATCCTTGTAGTCACTGCTTTCCCATAAAAGTGAAGGAACTAAACTGTTTGAGAGGTTTTCCTGCCTTTCCCTATACTAGCAGGCAGACAGATATCATCAAAAAAGGAGTAAGAACAACTTGAGAGTAGTGGGGCTAGAGGACTGTATGATTTTGTTCTTCCAGACAAGTCATTCATTCCTACGTGCTGATCAGTCAGTCCCAATCACTCCACCAGAAGCAGAATGAGACCAACAGGGCCTAGGTTGAAACCATTCCAGTATGGAGTACCAAGTTATTAAAAGTTAAGGAGGAATAGCAAATGCAGGTTAAGGAGGAATAGCAAATGCAGGTTAAGGAGGAATAGCAAATGCAGGTGTACTTGCAATTTGTTATCAGTATGAGAACCAGAAAAGGTATAGAAATTTGAGAATTCTGGGCATAAATGTCCTTTTATAAGGTACAACCTGATGCATAAGGCCTTTAAAGAATGCTACTGTGCAGAATGTCCATCATTTTCAACTGACAGGACACAAAGTAGCTACTACAGGTTATTTCAGATATTAATAATAGCCATCAGTTATGGGGAAAATTACCATTATGCAGTTGAGTTGACCTAATGACATGCATAGTTTGGATAGATGTACTGCAACTGGTTCCACAGGCCTAAAAGAGCCATCTCAGACTTCACTGTATTCTTGCATCTTTGATTGTGTTGCAGTTTTTCCATCTACCTTGCTTCACAGTGCTGGTTAACTTATGGAAATAATCTGAATTTCAAGCTATTTCTCTAACTGCCCAAGACACATCACAGGTGCTGCCAATTGTTCACTATTCAGAGGGAGCTACTTATCTTAAAGGAAGTTTTAAACATCTCCATTGTCTGCTGCATAGACTTACATCTGAGAAAGATATCCTTTGAGATGGTAGTAAGGATTGTGCAAGTATAGCAATGTGTTTCAAGAACAAGTACAGTACTCCTTGTCACAAAACCAATTAAAAAAAAAAAAAAAAATCAACAACATAACCCAGAAGGAATCAACTGCAAAGCAGATTTCAAGAGGACAAGATGACATCTGGGAGTATACCCAGTTAGCCCAAACCACAGAAAATATGAAAGACCAAGACTATTTGGCTAGAGCTACGCATCCAGGGGTGGCCCAGATGAACAAAACTGGAAGGATTAGACCAGCCACAGTAGAGTGAGAGTAATCCTTTGTTTCAAACAGAGGTGAACTAAGGCCTTCAGAATTTGTTATTTCTTGAGAATTCATTCTTGAAGATGCCTGAGCAAATCAGAGAGCTTGTCTTCACAAATAAAATGACAAAGAACCTCTGTTATCCCGAGACCATCTGATTAAGAATGCTATTACTTCTTCACTGTATACCAGTGCATGTGTTTGTTATATAATGCAATAGCACAAATTCTGTAATACTTCATTATTGTTCTTCAAATTCAGAAGCAGCGTAAATTAGAAGTAGAAAAGGCCATGTGCTGATGTATTCCAGCATGATCTTTTCACAAGGGAAAAAAACCTGTGTTTACAGCAACAAATGTTTTAATACTCATATTTCAGATAATTTCTTGATCTATACACACAAAACCGTTCTAGATGCAAGTGGGCAGAATGGAAAGTTTGCATTAGCATTGCATATCTCAGTTGAGTAAATACCATGATTACATGCCACATCTTCATACATAATAAAAAGAAGCCAACATCAACAAAACAAAAATCCCCTGATATCAGTGAAGGTACGCTGATGAACGTTACTCTAAAATATTTACAACAGCATGCACACGTTTTCAGAAAATTAGAAACTCTGATTTCATATCTGTAGATCATTTATAAAAAAATGTCACAAACTTGTTATGTTCTCATTGCATACACCAAGTTGTAGAGCAAATATCTTTTAATGAACTTAAAAATAAACCAGTATGTTTAAAAAAAAAAGAAGAACCAAGCAGATACATATAAGTTACATTGAATACTGCATCCCTTCCCACCTTCCTTTGAGAAATGAGACAGGAAGCTGACTGCCTTAAAACAAACAAACAAACAAACACCACACTTAAGTCACCAGAGGTCAGAGATGGTGGGTATGCAGCAGAACTGTCTCTATACTTGATTCTACAGAATACTGAAAAAAATTCCCCTGTAAACCTCTTCTGGCCCTCAGCAAATTTCTGCTAAGTGTCCAGAGATAATACCTGCAGTACTCATGGGTTGGTCTCAACTGACTTATCCAACGGCACAGAAAGATGTGCAGAAAGACAGCTACCAGGTAGTAGGTTGGACATTACTTAAGTTTGCTAACACAGCCAAACTCCACAGCATGCAGCTGAAAACTGTCTTCTGTGGTAGGCAGAGGTAACTGGAGAGAATACTAGTTTTGTGTTGAATAGCTAATACTTATGAAAGCTTCAGTTATCTTTCCTATGCATCTGTAACATTTCATAAAAAATATTTCCCTGAAGTAAGGCAAGGTCAAAAGTACGAGCACAGGTTAAATAAGAAAACATTAAAAACAAACAACAACAAAATAGAGACCCTCTTAGACACAAATAACAAATACTCAAACTTATCAGAGAAATCTGCAAATAATTGCTTTGCTACTCACCTGAGAGTGAGATACCTTCTGCAAGTCCATAAGGAAGGTAAGCAAAGATAATCATCATCCCAAACTCTAGAGAGGGCGTCTTTCTTAAATCAATGTGCTTTAGCACGTGCACACAAAAGTGTTAAGGAAAAGGTAAGCAAAAATTTTTGTTTATGTATTTTTTTAAATTTATATCATTCCGTTATAAAACAGTGGGGTGCTTGATGTACTTATCTGCCAAATAGCGAACAAAGCCAACAAGTGGCCCCATGACTCAAGCATGTAAAGATTAACCATTTCTTACAAGGAGTGTTTTTTTTTTTTTTTAATAGAACTACAGCTTGTAGAAGTCTATCAGAATGGACAGACTTAGAAAAGTTCTGCTACTATGCTACCTATACAGTATTGACCGCAGCATGCCAAACATCCAGAAGGAATCTTTCTCTACACATTCAGTCTTTGAAATTTCTTCAAAACTACTGTAAATGTGCCACAGAGAACCGCTAAGTAGTAAAAGCTTTCCAAAAAACAGAGTAGAGGTATGAAACAGCAAAGTAAAATAGTAGGGAGCTTTTTTTTTTTTTTTTTAAATCATAACATCCTTTTGACTGCGCTAAAATTCAGAGGCTGACACACCTGTGACATGGATGTTCACAGGAGGAACATCCTGTAAACCAGCAACAACCTTCAATTGTGTTTATTTGCTGGCAACTATTAGGAGATTTCTTTCGCTACATTGAAATTTTGCACATCTGTGGGAAATCTAATATTCTGAGGCACAAAACCTGTAATAAGGCAGATGAGCTGCTTTTTCTTTTCTCTTGGTATCATTTATGTATCAGTGAAAGAAATATTAAGCATCTGTCATCCTCTTTTGTTGTGATATAAGAAGTAGTTTAAAACTTCAAGGAATCAGGGTGGAGAACTGAAAGAAACATCTGTATTTAATCAGACACTCTGTTCTTGTTATTTACAAAGTCCTGTCATTTGCAACACACTGTTAAGGAGTAGCTGTTGCATGAGCCTAGAACAGAAAATTACCTACAGTGAATGCAGCGTTATCATTAAAGCAAACTCTCAACAGGAGTGCCCAACTTAAATAAACATCCCTCCTAATCTCAGCAGAGAAGCTCCTGGGTTATTTAGCAACCAGCTGATGCAAGTGGAAAGAGCAAAATAAAACTCAACATTAAACCAAATAGAACAGTATTCATCTTCAGCTAACTGAATACGTACGGACAAGTGAGCTGGTCTGACTCAAAAAACATTGAGAAAAGGATCATTTTTATTTTTAACTAACTGTTTTACATATGTAAATGAGGAGCCATGTTTGTTTCAATACTGAAACTGAATTAAATTACTTTGAATTTACAAAACTGTGACCGTTTTTTATTACACTCCACACACTGCACATAATATAAACTACAGCATTTCAGATCTTAATTATGTTCATAAAAACCTAAAGCAACTTCTTACTGCATACCCATGCTCAATAATGTAAGAATAAAATAAGCATGAGAGATCCTCAACCAACAAAGTGGTCTTTATTAAGAAGTATCCCCTAAGGAACGCAGGAGAACACAGGAGACGAAATACTATTTGAATGTTGGAGTTCATCAATTTATGTGTGTGTTAAAAAAGGATATTAATGCAGAAATAAGGCCAGTAAGTGTTCCAAGTGCTGCAGAGCCAAAGAACATCTTAAGAAAGTATCCCAGCGCCTGTAGAAAAGTTTGCCATCCACTTACATCTGACATATTTTCTCTTGTCAAACCTTCTGCAGTGCTGGATATAATAAAAAAAATAATACAGAAGAAGTAATTGTAAACTGTAAGCCTTGACTCAAAAAAAGCCAAACAGCTTTTGGCAGTAATAAAAAAGGCTTTATTTCTTTGTTGCTACCACTCTTAAAAGGCTTTTACTGTGATACACATTTAGCAAAAGAAATGTCAAAAGATGTTACATCAAGTCTTATTGTAATCCCCAAAGGGAAAGCTACTTCTGAAAATCCAAAGTTGCTCTCCTGAAGAATTTTCAGATTGGTGTAAATAAGCCGTGACAATGCCCAGTATTACAAAACAGTTTTCAAACTCTGAAAGCACATTTTGCCATGGCAGAAACTTTGGGTATGAAGAAAGACAGATCATGTGATCCTCAGAGAAGAATAAATGAACAGGGACAACTCGCATCAAATACTTAGGTGTGAATAAGCATCAAGAAGGTCACAGGAGGAAAACAAAGAACCACTTAAGAGGAAAGATATGAAAAGTCTTTGAATTTCAGGAATATATTTCATAGACTTTCATAAAATCATCAATAAAAAGATGTGGTTCTATTTGATTGCTCTTAGTCTTCCATAAAGAGACCATGGCCATATTTAAAGCTATTAGTTCATTGAAAAAAACACTCCCCCTCCTCCTGTCACTCCCTGCCCTTATAAAAAGTCTGTCCTGAGCTCTCCTCAGTCCCTTCAGACACTGTAAGACTGCTATAAGGTCCCCCCAAAGCCTTCTCTTCTCCAGGCTGAAGATCCCCAACTCTCTCAGCCTGTCCTCTCCAGCCCTGTGATCATCTTTGTGACCCTCCTCTGGACCCTCTTCAAAAGCTCTATGTCCTTTTCGTGTTGGGAGCTCCACAACTGGATGCAGTACTCAAGATGGGATCTCACAAGAGCAGAGTTGAGGGACAGAATCATCTCCCTTGACTTGCTGGTCATGCTTCTCTTCATGCAACTCAGGATACGGTTGGCTTTTGGGGTTGCAATCGCATATTGCTGGCTCATGTTGAGTCTTTCATCAGCTGACACACCAAAATCCCTCCCTTCAGGGCTGCTCTCAAGCCATTCTCCACCCAGCCTGTATTTGTGCTTGGGATTGTCCCAACCCTGGTGTGTGACCTTGCACTTGGCCTTGTAGAACTTCATGAGGTTAGCATGTGCCCACCTCTCAAGCCCATCCAGGACCCTCTGGATGGCATCCCTTCCCTCCAGCATGTCAACCACACTGCTCAGTTTGCCATAATCTGCAAACTTGCTGAGGGTGCACTTGATCCCACTGTCCATATAACCTACAAAGATGTTAAATAGCATCAGTCCCTGAGGAACACCGCTCATCACCAGTCTCTACACTGAGCTGTTGACCACAACTCTGAGTGTAACCACCATGGGTAAAGGACAAATAGTTCCCTCTGAGAGGTCCAAAACATATAAAACTAAGTTCCTACTGCATGGATGTTAATGTAAGCCTACAGATTGAAATCTGAGAAGCCAATGATAAAGGAGATACAGCTGAAAATTTGGCAAGACAAATATTTTCTGTGCAAGCCTGAAAGGACCCACGTTGGCTTTCTGTTGCCAAGATACGAAGATGGAAAGATAGCTGATAAACTTGCAGTTAAAAACAGTTATCTGGGGTCAATTTGATGAGGCACTGAAGGAGTTGCAAAAGGACAGCCATTTGTTTTCTTCTGCCTACGCAGTCTGTATCACAGATCTCTTCTAGCAATTAAAAAAAAACAAAACAATAGCATTATACCAAAAACACATTGCTTAGTTCCAAAAGCAGATGAAAGAATTCCCATATATTTCAATACCCAATTAAGAGAAAAAAACGTGGCTGCTGTTTCCATACACCTGCAACACATTTGAAAATGCACTTACTTGGTCAAGACAATAGAGACTGCATCATTGAGAATGCTTTCTCCAAAAACCAGCATGTTAAGTACGGGATCCACATTGAGGGCATTGAAAATGGCAATAGTAGCCACAGGATCGACTGCAGATATTAAAGAGCCGAATGCAAAACTGGGAGAACATAAAACAACAAAAAAGTTGACGAAAAAGATGTATCTAATAAGATTACAGTAACAGTTAGTAACAAATACATCTCAGTGTTTACACATAATAAAAAGTCATGCTTTCTTCCCAGTTTTTTGAAGTGACAAAAAGAGATGACTTTCTTTTTCAAAGGGGGAAGTTGTTGTCCAGATGGAAGTTTGAGACATATATATCTCCATGCTCTCAACAAGTGCCAGTGCCTTACTACAACTAAGTTTGAAAAAACAAGACACTACATAATCCATATATCACATATGCATAGTGTTACTCAGCATAGGAGTATTAAAAGGCAGCATCTAAATACAACAACTACCAGATAGACAGTGCAGAGGCAATGGGACTGCTTAGCTGCACAAAAAAACCCCAAATACTGGTACCAATAACCAAGGTTTCTGTTGTTTGTGCATGTTTTACTTGTCTCATTTCCTACCTGCTATTTGACTTAATTATAGATTTTAACCAAAAACTCTTGTACTTGGCTTAACAATGAATACAGGAACGAAATAAGTAATTAATACAGAAATGAACTCTAATTAACTGTAGGGAGGTATGAACCCACATAGATTTTTTTGCCAACTTCGTTCAGTCAAGGAAGTTCCTTTTTCACATACTATTAATCATGCCAACTAATCAAAGTTCACATATTTTCACTTTAAAGGTTGATTAAAAAGCAGTACATTTCCTATTTGGAGAATAGGATAATAAATAAGCATAAGGATACTATTCGGAAATGAGAGTGTCAGAATAGTTTAGAAGCATCTGATCTATTTGTTGGTGTAATACACAATATTGAATATAAGCAATCCAAACTGAAACTGGAAGAGCTGGCCAACTACAGTACATTTTCCCTAGAGTACATTTTCCAGCATTATCTTGATGAGTGCTTAACTTCACATACGGCACCATTTCTCCAAGAGCTTACCTGTCTGTCATGTTGAGTTTATAAATTACATCAGCCTGAAAGAATAGGCAAAATACAAAAAAAAAAAAAAATCACAATCAACTGTGTTTTGCTGCTTATATAGGCAATGAATACAAAGATGTTATAATTATTGAAATAAACAAGAGTTCGGCAAAGCAGATTATAATAACAAAGAGAATAGATAGAATGCTTATCCGCATCCTGGGCTCGCTGCAAAACTCCAGAGGAGGGATCTCCAGCAGAGATCCTTCCCCACTGGCAGCCAGCTCTTCAATAGGCCTAGGAGAGGTGCAGCCAGGCTCCACCCCTTCCAGCAGCACAGGTGAATTGCCTTCACCTGTGCTCCCAGGGCTGACTCAGTGCTCGCCTCAGGTGATCAATCAGAGGTTCAGGCCGTGATTCAGCAGTTCCCATACACTGCTATTTTTACAAATTAAAGTATTCACAGAATCACAGAATCACAGAATTGTAGGGGTTGGAAGGGACCTCCAGAGATCATCGAGTCCAACCCCCCTGCCAAAGCAGGTTCCCTACAGTAGGTCGCACAGGTAGGCATCCAAATTAATCAAATTTTAAACTAATCTCTTAAAAAAAAAAAAACTAATCACATCACAAATACTAATCATAAATCATAATTATGTTACCTAACACTACCCTGTTACAATTCTGGTCATTCAAAATCAGGAAAGGCCAGATGAAACTGAACAGATACAAATAAGTAAAGTAACTAGGGCATTCACAGGAATGGAAATGTGAGAGATAAAGATAAATCAAGGACTATTTGGAATAACTAATGAAGTCTCAGAGAATACGTCATTACCTATGCCGGTAGCTAATGAAAGGGGAAACACCAAAGCAGAGAAGTTAAAGAAAGCTGTCAACAAAAGAAAAAACAAGCTTAATAGTGGAAATTAGAAGATGGCTATTAAAGAAGGCAGGATCTGGTACAGCCATCTAATGGGAAGATCAAGTAATTAAAAGAAAGTAAAACTCAGTTCAAGTCTTAATTACTTCTAACATGAAAAACATAAGGAATTATATAGCGCACTGCAATGGGCTGCCCAGGGAGGTGGTGGAGTCACCGACTCCGGAGGTGTCCAAAGAACTTCTGGACAATGTGTTGAGGGATACAGTTTAGTGAGAACTATTGGTGAAGGTGGGTGGTTGGACTGGATGATCTTGTGGGTCTTTTCCAACCTTGGGGATTCTATGATTTAGAGGAGGGTTGTTAGAGTTAGGGTAATATGGTTAGGTCATGGTTGGACTTGATCTTAAAAGATCTTTTCCAACCTGACATTCTATGATTGTTTCATAACATTGCCTCTTTGTTAGCATGACAGCAGAGAAACAGACTTCATGATCCAAGAATTTACTTTCACTGTGTTTGCCTGTTCATGAAAAATGGACTTTCAATAAGCAAGTTGGATTAATGCAAGTGCTTCACAGTAGTTATTCTTACCTGGCCCAGGAAATAAATTCCTCCACCTACTATGAAAGCTGATATTGCTGTGCCAAATACAGAAAATAGTGTGATGGAGCCTATGTTCTGAAAAAAATTGCCCTGGAACACAGTAACAGTAAATAAATTACTGAAAATGAACTGAGGCAAAAGTCATGTTTCCTGTTTGTGTGTAAATTAGATTCTTAGATTCTGATTAACAGCTGGGTTTCAGAGATGAAAACTTCACTAGTTCAGTTCCAGCTATCCCAGGACAGGCCATATATACACATTATCTGCTCTCTCAGGGACAACCTCTGACGTCCCAGACACCACCTCAGTGTGGTAATGGAACAACAAACCAAATCCTAGATGACCAGTTGAATATTCACAAGCACTTATACACACTGCTCACTTGATAGAGTTGAAAACTAATCCCTCTTTTGTAGAAAGGGCATGTGAAAAAAGGCTTTTAAACAACCCCATAGCTAGTCCACTTATTAGTCTCCAATTTTGAATGAGAAACATCTTCAGTGACAGTAGCAATTCACATCATTACTATCACCCACAGCTTTCTCCCTCTTCTGCAGTACAGTTTAAGTAGAAAGCCAGCACACAGGACAGGCGAGAGCTGTTCTTGCCAGAACTAGCACCATGAGAAGTGTTCGTGGAAACACAGTCTCACAGGCAGAGTGAAAGCATTCTCACTTTTCCCCTTCTTTACATAACCCCAGCAACCCCACCTTCCCCACTTCTGATTCCATTCCTTCCCAGTGTTCCGTCTTCACATCAGCCCTTACACAGCCCAGTGAGGTAAGGAACCTCTTCAACCAAGGAGAACAACTTCTGTGCAATACCTGTCACCTTGCCAACATTCATTTAACATTCTCTGCATTCTGGGTTGAAGCAGCTTAAATTTCACATTCTCAGTTTCCTGATAATAAATATGGTAGAATTTAGTGCAATTATTCTAGATTTCACTTGTTCCAAACAAGACCTCAGCATATGAGTGTCTGGCAAAGGCTTACCTTGTGCAATGAATATCCAGACTCAAATATAATAGGTGGAAGCAAAAGCAGAAAAAACATATTTGGACGAAACATTTCTTCCTCCTGCAAAACAAAAGTGAAGCATAATTTGAAGGATATCGTGATTATTAAAATAATATTGAACCTTCACAAATATGATACTATTTGAAAAAACAAACAAACAAACAAACAAACCAAAACTGTTGGAAAATGAAAGTTGCATTAACCTTTCTCATTTATTACCACAAAAATAAAAGGCTGCATAATAGTAAACTATTCCAGGGCTACTTATTTAATTACTTTTGTCCAGTGATAGAAATCCAGGTATTGCTTATTTTAACTTTTTCAAATAAGCTGTGCATAAAACTGACTACTACTGACAAAGGAGATATGCTTTTTCAGCACTTTCAAAAAGTATTGCCATTTTACCTCACCTTCTGAACACATTAAGGACTGTCAAGGAACAGTGACCACTTGACTGCTAAACTGATAAAATCACTTATAAGTACAGTTTCGTTAGAAAGCGAATCAATAGACAAGAACAAATCAGATCATCATAGTACACATACACGTGAACAGGTTCAAGATATATACCACTGCTAGAAGTCAGAGGCTTGATTTTTCTTGACAAATGTGATTTATGCCTGTAGTTTAGGGGTACTATTGCTATGGTTCCTTGTGTATCAAATAATATCAAAATAATATATCAAATCATATCAATAATTCTGTTAAAATTTAAAAATAATCATAATAAAATGATTATAAAATCATAATAAATATAATAAATAAAAAATATAATAAAATCATATAAAAGGTGATAATTGCTGGTTGGTTTATACAGCTTTAATACAGTGAAAGTAATTTAAATAAGCTAACAGTAATGTCACCTGTGACCCGTTACCTTAGCTGATGAAACAAGTAACTAGCCGCAGCATACCCATTGCTTCTACAGATCAGATCACTGCTGACCAGAAATAACCAGGTAATCACTTGCTACGATCAACATTTCCTGTGCTTGTAGAAACAGCGCTCGAAGGAGAGCACACCTTGAGCTTCCTTTTTCCTTCCTATGTATATGACCTCCTTCAAATTATGCTATTTAACCAAAACAAAGTTATTTTAAAATGCTGCATTTCTGGATGTTTAACTGCTTTTCCATTTTAAGCCAAATCTAGCTGACACAAATTAGGAATTAAAACACATTAACTACTGCACCAGCCATTGTTTGTAGTGAGTAAACATGTAGAAATGAAATATCACAATGTGCTTCCTGAATCGTTGGACTGCTTAAATGAATGTTCATTGATGATGTGGATAAACCACAGGTGGCAAAACTCATTTCGCTATAGACTATCTCGTGGAGAGGTTTCTGCCAGGATCCTGGCTACCTGGGGAAGCCTCTGTAGCTCCACACAGAGGCAGGGAAGACCTCATAGCATCACACATCAATTCAGGTTGGAAGTGACCTCTGGAGGTCTATAATCCAACCCCTACTTCGAGCAGGGCCAACTCAAATCAACTTGGGGTACCTCAGGCTTTATCCAGCCAAATTCTCCAAAAGTAGTTATTTTCATCTTTAGGGAGTTACATCTAGTAAATAAGTATATAAAACCGAACTGCAGATTTTTTTCTACTATCACTAGTTCCATAATACAAGATGTGCAGTACCCTCTTTTACAGTCTAACAGGAATAGATTTGGTACCATTAAAAGCATTATTTTGGAGGAAGAAAATAACGCATAGAAAATAAATAGCAAGATCAAGACATCAAACATTCAGTTGTATTATTATTTTAAAAACTCCAAGTAAAGCATAAAATACTAAATTTCAGAAGCAACATCAAAATAAACTAACGTTACTAACAGTCTTATATTAAACATTAAGGACTGTTCTGCAATTAAAAATTAACTGCTTCAAATATACCTTCCAGTTGGCCAGCTTCTGAGCCTCTATGATTTTTATAAAAGCTCCCATAAGGATACCTAAGAAAGAACAAGATACTATTCTTAAATAATCACAAAACATATTAATGTTCCCATTAACTCGGTCAACAAGATTTTAAAAGTATAAACAACACAAAACAACAATTTATTCCTTAAATTAGTTGTCTTCTTCACTGCATTCACTTGGCCACTTTTCTAGTAGTAACTGACACACAGTTGCGCATTATTCAATTTCATAATACTGACTGCCCCTGAATTAACACAAAGCCAATGCAAAAACGTCACAGTTACTCACCTAAGGAAACAACAGCTACGCTTTCTGGTAAAAAATGAAGGCGGTATTTTATCAGTAAATGCACCAATATGATGCAGATAGCTGTGAAAGAGAATTAAAAAAAGCAAAAAAAATTGAGAACTTATAGCAGAAAATAAAATAGACTTTTAAATAGTATTTCAAAAATGCATAAATTTTTTTCCAGTGATTTATTAGGAATCCACTGATGGAAAAAACAAATCTTAGGTTCCTAATTCTCACCAGAGCACTTAAATTAATCTACAAATGACAGAAAATAACAAAGATAATTTTATTTCCTAAAATTTTAATAATACTTTTTATGAAATACTAGTATTACGACCTTCTGAAAACTTACAAGAAAGTTTCCTCTGAAAATAGATGTGAAAAAATAACAGTAATACAGAACACAGTTTTAATATCTACCTCTTTTTTAAACATCTCTTTATTTTTGGAGTAAAAAAATACATGCACGCATACACATAACTGTAATACTATAATGAGATGAAAAGTACCACGATAATAGCAGAGTGACAAAGCCTTTGGCTACAGCAAATAAGAACGAGCCCAAATGCAACAGCCACAGATACAGAAATAAGGAAATGCACTACTTACCTTTGGAAGGCCTCAAGCAGGCAAGGATTTCTAGCAAGAGATACCCTCACCTCCACTGTCAAATGAGGCCTGGCAAGGGGTGGATCCTGGCTCCAGCCCTTCCATCACTCAGTACATTGCATGCAGCTGAGCTCCTCTGGGCTGGCCCTGCCTTCCCACCAGGTGCTCCATCACTGCTTCAGGCCGTGTCTCAGCATTTCCACTACAATAACCCTGATCAAAATTTCAAAGCTACACACTTCCACATCTGACTCTCTTTAAGGAGATGGACTTTATCCAAATGATTAATCAAAATATTAGAAAAAATTACACCAGAAGGGATATCTCAAGGAGATCTAGTCCAACCTCATCAAAACAGTGCTAATTTAAAAATCAAGGAATTTATCCAGGGCATTGTTCAGCCAAGTGGGGAAGTCTTCCAAAGCAAATATGTTCTATCCCCTCTGGATTCCAGTTCCAATTCTTCAACAGTTTTGTGGCTGCTTCTTGATGTTTTGGACAAATAAGTCTTGTTCTATATTCTCTATTGCTCATGAATAGTAAGGCTATGTCAGTACAGAGATCATTCAAGTTCTTATCCAAAACAGCGGAGATATTTACCAGTGGGCACTGCTAGAAGTTACAGCAGTATAGGTAAAGGGCCAGAATATAAAATAGATAAAAAACATTGGCTTGAAGTTAAAAACTGAATATTTTAATCTGATGAAACAGCTACTTATTCAATATTCAGTTCTGTACTATGGTAATGTATTTTATCCATTGGAAATAGTCTTCCACACGTTGAAACTACCACAATTCTTCTCCCGTTTTAATCAAGTTCAACAAAGTCTGACAAAGAAATTCCATCTGGTCTGCACATCTGCAATATGCGTATTTAATTCTATTCATTAACAAATATTTCAGCAGCAGCCTGAGATATAAACTATTACTGTTTGCACTGGTATTATATTATTATTTATTACTATCACTATACAGCTTCGAATAGATCTGCTTCTGAGTCTACTTCACTTTAGAAAATTTTAAAATCTTTCTGATAGTTCATGACACCAGAGGAAACAGTATTTTCATCCTTCCTACAGTCTTAGATGAGAGATTATGAATGGGAAAAACTATGAACAATAAGCTTTCACACTGTTTTCTATTTTGTTCAGGTAATTAATGTATCCTGAGGATGATGCTTTCAAGATTCATTAAGCTATCACATGGGCATAAACAGGCTGGAACACAGAAGAAATAAATAAATAAATAAATCACAGCTCTGTTCTTAAGTCCTAGGAATAAAATTTTATCATGAATGACCCTTTTAAAACCTACAAGGTGCACGTATTCAGAAAATTTATTTTAACCTTGTAAGTTTTTGGATCTGCTGCATTTTGCTTTGGTATTTCTTTTGTTTTTATTCAAATTCATATGCCACTGACCATGGGGAAAACATTAACCCTCTCTGAAGACAAACACACACTTCAGAAATAGGTAGATGCTTTCCATTTTTGCTGCAGTAAATACCAGTAATTTGTAGGAGAAAAAAAAGTAAGTATTCTTTTATTCTCCAAAATGATTTGAAGAAGTTTTTGCATTGCTATCAACTCCACAGCTGTTTTTTATTTTCCACTTGCTACAGGAAAGAGTGATCACTTCGAAGACTAAATGACCTGTCTGTCAAAAAAAGGGCTCTCTTAGCATAGCTTTACCTAGGAGAAACCAAGTATATATATGCACAAAACAAAACAAAGCCCTAATTGTCTGTGAAAGTTCCATTATTGTTACAGTTTTGACTACTACACCGCTCTAAGCAGACTGTAGGACAGCTATATTCTACTAAGAAAATGAAAGATGACAGCCTAGGCTTACAGAAAAGTTGGGTGTGCATCTGACGTTCAGAATGCCCGTGTGTGTGTGCATATATATATAGATAGGATGTATACAAATGTTAACATAATTACAGCAATCTGCAGGTAACCACACACTTGTAAAAATGTTAGAATCCTAGGAGACAGAAGAAATAGATGCTGACCTTTAGCACATGTGCACGTAAATCCCACAGTATGATATTACTTTATGTAACAAAGTATCTGAGCACAATCTAAAAATAATCAAAGTTGAAATCTCTCCTCAAAAACAGATCTAAGTGTCATGAAGCATTCTGACAGCATCACTCCCATAGATGAACACACACCATGTACTTGATTAGGAACATGAAGCCAATTAAACATCTTGTTTGCACTTTGAGATCAACATGAAAAGGTCTACAATGGTCCTGTTTCCTATGGGCTTGGGTAGGTCAGTTAGTCAAAGGTATATATACACCCAACTTTTCTAAATCCCTCTGCCTCGGCAATGCTCCATTTCACTGACAGAAAAACAGAGTAGGAACAGAACAGCATGATTTTTAAAGTCAGCCTATATCCTCCTTTGTAAGCATGCTTAAGAGTGATTAAAAAAAAATCACTCATCATTCACCTAATACAAGAAGACTAAAAAAAATGGTCATGCCACTGGATTGCTCCTCTTGCTGTGCCTGGACTCCAGTCTGAACGGGAAGAATGGGTTTGGCAGGTGTAGGCATCACCAGCTTGGTGGTAGCAGCCAGAGTGGTGCGGAGGGTGACATTGATGACCTCACGGGTTGCGTTGGCAAACCTGTCAGGACGACACAGTAAGTGATTACGCAGCGCAGCGCCACCACCAAGGCTCTGGAACGCACGTGCCCCAGTGCCCCTCAGAGCCAGCCCCTTCCGCGGGCAGTAAGTTCCCTCAGCGCCCCGCAGGACCCCACTGCAGGCCCCAGCCCGGGAGACCCGTCCCCGCTGCCCGGCCGCTGCGTCACTCACTCCGCCATCTTGCCGCCCGCCGCCTTATGCCACCCGCGCGAGGAGCCACCCCAAACGCAGCCGCTTCCGGGGTTCTCGCCGATACACTGACTAGCCAGCATCCCTCCGAACTCTATGGTAGGAAAAGAAGTGATGGGTGGAGATAAAGTGTGCGCGTGCGTATGGGGCAGCTGCCCATCTGGGGGGGAGTATCACGTGATAGTGAGGGTGGGGCTACATTGACGTCCGCTGTCTGTTGCGTAGCGACGCTATGATGTTGCAGCCCTGAGCTGTACGATGAGGTCAGTTGCGTGTGGAGTGCCTCGGTGTCCCAGTGTCTCGCGGGGCTGGCGTTGAGCTCGGCGCTGTGCTGCCACGACCGTGTGGCGCCTCGGCCCTCAGTCGCCATTTTGCTGGGCTCCTTGTCCTTCAGCCGTGGGCCCTGGCATCACAATTGCTCGCCATCTGCTGACCAGTGCCCAGCTAGTCCATGAGCGGGGGCAGTTGCCACATCCTTTTTTTGTTCAGAGGGATGCCATAATATGTGGGACATCATTTCGGAAAGTTGGAATCAGCTATCCTAGCTATGTGCCCCACCAGCCCCCCACAGCACAGCAGCATGAGAAGCTGGGAATTCCTTGCCTCAGTGTACACTGCTCAGCAAGAGCTGAATCATATTGGAAAATCACAGAACAGCCCGGGTTGGAAGGGACCTCAAGGATCATGAGTCTCCAACCCCCCTCCCCCCGCCACAGGCATGGCCAACAACCGCCACACTTTATACTACACCAGGCTGCCCAGGGCCCCATCCAACCTGGCCTTGAACACCTCCAGGGATGGATGGGGCATCCACAGCTTCTCTGGGCAGCTGTTCCAGCACCTCACCACTCTCATAGTAAAGAACCTCCCCCTAGGTGAGATCCAACCTAAATCTTCCCTCCCTCAACTTAAAACCATTTCCCCTTGTCCTGCTGTTATCTACCCTTTCCAAGAGTTGACTCCCCTCCTGTTTGTAGGCTCTCTTTAGTTACTGAAAGGCTGCAATGAGGTCAACCCGCAGCCATCTCTTCTCCAGGCTGAACAAGCCCAGCTCCCTCAGCCTGTCTTTGTAGGGGAGGCGGTCCAGTCCCCCGGTCATCTTTGTGGCTCCTCTCTAGACCCTCTCCAACAGCTCTCTGTCTTTCTTGTACTGGGGGCTCCAGATCTGGACCAAGTACTCCAGATGGGGCCTTACAAGAATTGTTTTTGTTTCTTAAATCATTAACTGACGTGGAAATTCCACTTTTGTTTTATTTTACTGGCCTTGTAGCTGTCGTGTGCTTTGAACTGTGAGAGATTGGTGTAGAAAAGGAACACTGCAGATGTAACTCTTCAGGATATGACCTGAGCTCTACACTTCCTTGTTGGCCTAGGCCAGGGGTGGTCCACAGATTGATTTTGGAGACCATGTGAAGGATTTGGTAAGAGACTTGCAGAGAAGGAGCCAGGGCAGCAGAGGCCAGGGAGCCAAGAGAAACACACACCAGGAGTGAACATCATCAAAGCTCAGATCTGAAAGAGGGAGGGGTGGGAGTGGGGGAAGAGGAAAAGTTAAAAGAAGAACAGAGAGACAAGGGTCTCAGTGACCCTTGTACAAGGTGGAGCATCTGGTGGCTGAATGGACCAAGAGCCACTTGGTAAGGTGACTGGGTGCGAACAGGAAGTCTGATGTACCCAGAGATGTCATTACTCAGCTTATGTGAACTGTCCCATTTCCATGGAAATCAAGTGTCATCACTCAGAGAAGAGTACCCTGGGTGAAATAGCCATAGGGGATATCAAATTATAACATATAAAAAGTACTGTTCTAAGAACTGGTGGTTTCATGTCTTCTCCCATCAGCAGAAAATGTCTCTACTGGCTTGGCCACTGAAAAGGGGACAGTGAGGCTCACTGACACAAACCAAGCACCACTCCACTGTTGTGCTTCTCATGATCCGAGAGTGTGGTCACAGCAGAAAGCAATCAGTTTGGCAGAAGGCCTTTCAACCTGCCTTTCACTTGTGGTTTTCTGATGCACAGCCACTGAGCTTCTACTGGTTAATGTGTGTTACAAATGTTTCTTCTAATAGATTGCAAGTATCTCACAGTTGTCAAAGCATATCAAAGATGACATGACTGTAAGATAACATAGTGTTCAGTTTTAATTCTTAAATTATACAGAGTGTCCTAAATCAATAGTTATGTGGAACATAGAAGGCAGACACACACAAGGAAGTGACCAGCTGTAACCTCACGCTGGAGACCTTGGGGAAGGCTCTAATTTATGAGTGAGCACAGGAGTCTATTTATGGGCATAAGACTTTGATCTCTCTTGTACTGTCGCACATGCAGGCTGTCAGTTCTAGAGAACAAGGGTAAGAGGTTCACACTATGGAGGAGCTGGTTCAGCAGTTGAGCTAGTTTTTGGCCCTGAAGAGATCTAAGTTTGCCTTTTAGATTATCTACAAACACTGTGCTCCCAGGTGGGTCAAACACACTTGTTTAGTCCTTTTGGCTGAAATAGAGAGCGCAGTTCTTCCTGCAGTGCTGTGGTTGCACTATTGAACTAGTTCAACTTGCAGTTGAACTATTCTACAGATACCTAAATATGATCATCTTCTTTATATTTTGGCTTTAGTGTATAAGTAAAATGTTTTCCTGGGTATGGATAGGCATTATGGTCTAAGCTCACCTAGGGACAGGTTCTGATTCTGGCATGGAACAAGGTATAGGTCAAACAATGACAGGAACATTGGATTTCAGAGACATCAGGCAAAATCAGAAGGCAAAAATCATCTTTGTCCATAAAATGCCAGTATTTGTATCCCATGAGTGAGGAAATGCCTATTGCTATGGCACCAAAGTGCTGATGGTACATTTACTGCTTGGAAAAGTTTGGAGGCTTCATCACCCTCCGGGATCAGTTCCACAGCAGCTGCTGAAAGTGTTGGCAGGCTGATGACAGCAGGTATGAGTGCTGTGGAGCTGCAATGGTCTGAATACAGCCTCTGTGCAAAAAGATCATCTCCTCTGACTTCCTTTTCTTTGTTTTCCTGTACTCCAGTGTGGGATTAACAGAATGGTTTAAAAGGTGTGATGAATGACCTTTGTAATCAAAGCCAGAACATCTATTTAATATGTGAAGTTAAGCATGCTGCTAAGTATGGAGTCTGCCATACAATGTATTTGTTTTGTTGCTCTTGAGCAAATGGGAAGGATTCTCTTAGGCAGACTGATGAAATGCTGAAAATTATTTTAAACCCTTCTTTATGGAATTTTTTTTATATCTTCTTAATATGTCTTAGTATACATAGTGTCTTATGCTTTTTTCTTTTTAGATATACATAGTTGGTGTATGCACATGTGCATACAGATATATACACACTTTTACATATAAGGAAGCATACAAATGCAAATTCCAGCCACAAATTCACTGCAGGAAATGTCTTTCCTGATGCTTTGGTATTTGCTATTTGAAACAAATCACTGTTTGAGCTGAGTGGTTTGTTTGCTTTTTATTTCATGTTTTGTCTTTTTTTGACATGATAAATCTGGAGTTAATCCAAGAGTAAGCAATGGCAGAAGTACCTCATGCGTTCATGTGGTATTCAGTACCTGGCAACATATGCTGTCATGGGTGATGTCCTGGGGTTGCAATCAGGCTGAAGTGCAAACAAGTGGGATCAGCCTTTGCAAAGAGGGCCCTGAAGGGCTCCGGGAGGAATTATTCCCAAGAACCCTGTCATATCACCTGCTGGCAGTGCAAGCCAAGTGGGCAGACAAACTGAGCTCCTCCCTTGCTTGGGCAGGGGGATGGGGTAGGGATCACCTTCTTGAGGGCTGATGACTGACTTCTCTAGCCCTGTTTGCCCTCTGGGGAAGTGCAGCTTACCAGTCTCCAGTCTCCATTCCCTGCTGGGCACCATGAACTGCTCTGTCCAGTGGGCAGGCACAGGGAGCAAACTGTTGCAGAGAGCTTACAACTCAATAGCCAGGCTATGCTTGGTGAATGGTTCAGGTGTTGCCAAGTGGGTAAAAGTGGTGCTGCCTCAGAGACAGGACACAGAAGGATAGTCCTCACTCAGTTCTGCTTTTAAACAGTGAATATTTTTGCACTGAGCTTTCAAGCACTCTGTTTCCAAGCTGGCATTGCGCTTGCATGCTGTGACTCATATGAGCCACCCAAGCAACAACTGGATGGGCTATGTGTCTCAGCATGAGTTGGTTGTGCTTAGTGACAGACTTTGGCAGGAGGCAGTTACTGTTTTACAGATGGCTAAGCTGAGACTAGGAAGGGCCAGAGAAATGCTCCTGAAACCCACAGCTGAGCAGGGGAGCAGATGTCACGGGGTCTGAGATGGTCCCCAGCTTTCTGAACAGCACTTGATATGATGCTTGCAACTTCATCCAAATAATGGGGAGCTTTGCTCCCACCTCTTCACTCTAATCTTCTATACAGAGGTTTCTGTTTAACTCCCAGTGCAGACAGCTCTTACTAACATTGCTTCCTTATCAGTCTTCCTGCATAGATGGGCAGAACCCAACATGATGCAACTCCACAGCTGCGTTATCTGCCAGGCCCAGGGACACAGCTGAATCACTTTGGGCCCACAGGTTCTGCAAGCTGCCTGTCTTCCAGCAGCAGCCTCCAAGTGTTTCATCACACTCCAAAAATGAGGTGCCAGAGGACAGTGGTGACAAAGTACTGCTTCTCCCATTTCTTCCTGCATGTTTTCCTCACAGCATTCTACTTTGTTTCATAAGGGACTGTTAATTGCTTAATTTCAAATAAACATTGTGAGTTCAAGCCTTCTGCACCTTGTAACAGGTGAGATTTCTGGAGTGTATCTGTGCATTTGGTCAATTTGTTGCTTTGCATGTATGTTTATATGAAAACAATAACAAGAAGAAAGGTGCCGTTGGTAGGAACCATCCGTATGTCCCTAACCCTAAATAAACAAGAATGGAAAAATCAGTTCTAGTCAGGCTAGCATTAGAGTTTAAAAGACCATAACAACACCTTCCTCTACAAATAGGCAATGAGAGGCCATGAGCAGACACTTTGAAGACAAAGAGCAGTATAAGCCAAGGCAGCCTGGCTCCCAGGCAGCCCCCCCCCAGTGCTGCTTAGCACAATGAAACTA